TCATGATATCCTGTACAAATTTCAGCACGGTTTTCGCAAACTTAGATCATGCGAATCCCAGCTGATAGAGTTTATAAACGACATCATTGGAAACTCTCGTGCTAAGCAGACTGATGTCATCATAATGGACTTTTCAAAGGCGTTCGACAAAGTTTCTCACAACAGACTTCTATACAAGCTAGAGAAGTATGGCATAACGGGTGACACTCTCCTGTGGATCAGGGCCTTCCTAAATAACCGTCAGCAGTGTGTTGTTGTTGATGGCGAGCGATCTGAATTTACTCCAGTGCTATCTGGGGTACCTCAAGGTTCCGTTATAGGCCCAATTCTTTTCCTTGTTTACATTAACGACCTCCCTGATAATATTAGGTCGACGGTCCGTTTATTTGCCGATGATACCATCATCTATCTGGCCGTAACAAGTGATGTTAGCTGTAAACAACTTCAAATGGACCTTGATGCTCTTCAGGAATGGGAAAAAACTTGGAGAATGGAGTTTAATACAACCAAATGCGAAGTCATGCGAATCTCTAGATCCAAACAGCAAATCCAGCACACCTACTATTTACATGGTGATCCACTAACGGAAGTCAAGCAGACAAAATACTTGGGGGTACATATATCACATGACCTCAAATGGAATAAGCACATTAATGACATCACAGCTAAAGCTAACAGATCTCTTGGCTTCCTTAAGCGGAACCTGAGGATAAACTCGCCGTCACTTAAAGCCAAAGCTTACCAAGGTCTTGTCCGACCAAAGCTTGAGTACTGTGCTAGCGTATGGGACCCACGCCCACGTGTTGAAAACAATGGCTCTCACAAGATTGAAATGGTACAACGCCGTGCTGCTCGGTGGTGCTTAAGAAGATATGGCAGGACAGATAGCGTTACTACCATGCTTGAAGAACTTGGATGGCGCTCTTGTGATGTATATTATAAGAGTATCATTTGTATGGCTCTCAACCATTCAGTCAATTAATAACGAGCAAAGGAAGTAGAGAACTGATGGTTTCTTACGTTTATAGACCAATATTCAAACTGACCCGTGATATACCATAACAATCAGACAATCACGTGCATACCTACAAAGTAACCTGGCAACTAAAATTACCCATAATTTCCTGGTTGGATAGCACARGAATACCAWGGTCACATGGTCAATCAYATTATCCATAATGCTTTACTTTACTTGTCTCATGGTGCTGTACTTGTGTTACAGTACGTTTGCTCGACGTTTCTTCCTTCTTCCTTGGAGAGTTATTACTCGTGACCAGGCCCTAGGCCGGGTCACGAGTCAGAAAATGCAGCGGGTATAGTTTTGTTTTGTTTTTCTATGTGAGACCTTTGTCTTCGGGCTGACCTTTGCGTCCCGAACGCATATCACATTACGAACTCGGCTGTACCTTTGCCCTCGATCGCACTCCGATCTCTAAACGAAATATCATATTACGAACTCGGCTGTAAGCAAGCGTATCATAGAACAGCAAAACTGCTCGGGATTTACTGTRKCTTTTATAMTAACGARATATAAATCGATACTTCGTAGATAARTGAAGCCCGTGGATGTCTCATACAGCACGCAGTTTGAATTGAAGAAATATTGTTCAAAACTCGGAATTATCGACTGTTGAGGGAAGACTCTGCCGCTTATTACTCATCTGTGAGCATTTGGGATAGCGTAAAGTCTTCTGTTAAAGGCGAAGAGATCTCAAGTTATACGATCGACAGCTCTTCTACATACGAACCAGTACTCTAAACAATCGTATCATAGAACAGAAACTAGACGCTAACGTAGCGTGAAGTCGGGCTAGCAAGGGTGATATCATAATATTGTACATCCTGATGAAATGATAATTTTTTACACCGCAAAAGCGTGTAGCTCATTCAAAATATGCAAATTTCGTGTGATTTAAAAAGGTCATATAAACAACACTTTATGTTTTAACAATTTTTGATGCAATGTTTAAAGGAAAGAACCCTATTAACCAGCTTATACTATTTAGAGGAATCTCCAAAGGCAACTCTTTCAAAAAAAATTCAAAATAAATGCTTTAAATGCTCTTAAAACTCATATCCTATCATTACTAATGCAACTTAAGACGACATAGCGCAATGCATTTGATTATCAGATATCTTGGTGTAAAGTTTCAGGTTTTTAATTAAAAAATGACCTCTGAGGTCAAGAAGCATATAGTTTACAAAACAAGAAATACTTCGTACAATTTTGCGAACACTCGACGTAGACACAGTCTTTCCCTCGTACTTCGATTGACCATGTGATAGAAACAGAAAAGCATCTATAAATGTGACTTTTGTGTCACATGATATATTTATGACGTAATTGATTGTAATTGGGGTGCCTGTGGTATAGCTCATAAAGCATCATGGGGGACTATACGCAGATAGATCCGAAAGGTAAAACTAGCCTACGGCTAGCCCGACTAATAACTGCCCGGGATTTACTGTAGTTTTTTAGTAATTCTTTGATATTCGAGGCCTTTTGTTATTCCAAAACATTCATCTGTGTAAGAGCATGTATTAGGACATTGGTTTAGGTCATAAAGGTTGGTGTATCGAGCCAAATAGTTCATTTTCCTTGGCGAGATATAAACCGATACTTCGTAGCTGACTACGTGGCTGTCTGATTCTGAGTTGCATAGCCTATATTTTATAATTTGATGAGGGGATTCTGTCTCTTCTGGTTAAAGAAAACAATGCTATTCACAGATGAGTATTCCTAGATGAAGATCGTTTAAGCGATCATGCATGGTTATAGAGCGGGCCCTTCCTGTTTGCGAAGATCGCTCGCCACACGGCGCCGAGCTGTCTGATTTTGATACTGTAGTATACTTGACCTTAAAATTACTACAATATGTTTCACGCGAAAGACTATCAGAGTGAACGATTTGATTCTACGCTTTTAAAGATTTGTCAAAAATTATTGTATATCTAGTTCCTTCAAAAGCTGCTTAAAATATTACATGAAAAGTAATCAACAAGGAGTTACTTCTTATAAGTATAGATGAACTGCATGTCT